CGCTCAACTAAAACAGGAAAGGCGTGTGTATGCAGTTGGCAAATGGCCTTGAGCCATGTCAAACAAAATCATGCAATCTATTAAAACGGCGATGCTTTTAATTAGAGAGCTACCCGGCAAATCCGGCGTGCCTATCCCCCCACCAACCCCCTGCATTAAAAAGTTATTCCATCATAATAAATCGTTGGCTTGCGCTGGGTTTGCATAATTAGCCAGCAACTCGGACAACTTAAACTCCCACCTTTGCAGACGTTTCCCGGGCCAAGTCATAATTATGCAAACAGTGTGAAACTGAAGCTGTAGGAGAAAAAGTTAACTAAACAAACCTTGGCTCATTCTGCTCCGGCTTTTGCTGCTTTTGCTGCTTTTGCTGCTGTTGTTGCTGTTGATATCCCCGGCTCAACTTTCACAACATAATTCGTTATTTATGACTTCAATTATGTTTGCCTGTGGCCACACACAAAAAACCCAAAGGTTAAATGGGCGCAGCGAGGCGAAACTTAACCCCTGCTCAAGGCATCACCCTTAACCCCCTGACGGCCCCTGGGCATCCTACACATTTGTCGCCACCTCAGTCTTTTGGCGAATGAGTGACCCCCCAGGGGAAAATGCAAACGGCAGGAAGATAGCATTTTAATTACCGCTCTAACGAAAGGTTCCACCTCCTTGAATATTCTTGTGATAAATTATCCTAGTAAAATAACTAGAGGGATTTCCAGGGAGATTTTGGAACTTTGGCCGAAACTTGCCGAGACTTATTTTACAACTTTTTTTATTACAACTTTTTAATAATTAATATTGCTAAATAAATATATTAAAGAAAAATATATAAAATTAAAGAAAAGTCGGCCGTTTTCATTTAACATTTTCGTTCATTTTCCGAACGCTGTGGAAGGTGTGTGTGAGTTTTATTTGGTTAGATAATGTCAACACAGCTTATGAATTATAAATGGTGGTCCAGCCAGTCTGTCAAAGCGCATTAATAACAAATAGCCCCTGCATTACGAATATATGGTAATTTTTAATACAATATTTTCACAGTTAATATGGAAATATTATTAATAAACTTTAATTACCAGAAGATGACATTTTCCGCGCGTCTGTCATTTAAAATGTATATATGGCCGGCGCAGATAAAAAACGTATTTAATAAATGATTTCCCGAGCCCAAAATAGCGCGATTGTGAAAATGAAAGGCAGGCTTATCGTTAAAAAGGTCGCAAGGCAATACATATGCATGAGAGCCACAGTGGCTAGCCTTGGATGAAGACTAGCCACGTCTTCTAACGCCAACTGCATTGCCACTGCAACTTGGACAACTTGCAACTCTCAGCCTTGGAGCTCGATTTTGTTGGTCTGGGAAAACATGTTTCCCACTTAGCGCTGGCACATTTGCATGTGAATGAAAAGCGAGTCATGGACGCCGACAAATGTTGCATTCAGCTGGTGTTGTTGATTTTGTATTTTGTGAAAAGCGCTTAGTTGCCAAACTGTTTTCAAAGTCTCTTCAAGTGGGCAAACACAAATGCACACAGGGCAATTAAATTAAAGTCGAAAGGTAAACAGAAGGCAAACAGAAGACAAAAAGTTGATCTTGCCAAAGTTCAGACAAACTTTATTGTAGCTGCAAATTCAGCACTCTGCTAGTGTCAGCATATGGTTTTATGCTTTAATTAGCAAAGCATTTCAAACGTGCTCAAAATTCTATTTCGACCATTTTGGGTCAGCGGACGCAGACTGACTCATACCTTATCGCCATATCCGCTCAGCAGATCAGTGCGAAAATCAAACAGAAAGCAGAAGCACATCAACTCTGAAAACTTTAAGCTGAAAGCTGAAAGCTGAAAGCGGGTTCAAAGACACACATGGCCCAGCCAACCGTTAAAACATAACTGTCAAGCTGTTACTCATGACCAAGCAATTTCTTTTATGTGCTGTTGCGCAAATGCATGAAAAGAAATTGCGAATATAAATAATAACATATTTAGCATACAAATTAGTTTTGCATATTAATTATGCAATTTAACAGGGCGCGCATATGGAATTCCATGGCGCGAAGAAAGGTCGAACTTAAAACAAAAACTGTCGCATTTCATTTGACCCCGTTAATTGTGTGGGCAATAAGGCGTTGGGTGGGAAAGGTTGCATAATGTTTTAACGCAGATTGATGCATGTGCACTTGTAAATTTTAGCACAAAAAATGCTTAAATAACACGCTGTTTCTGCACTGCGTGTAAATTCCAGAAGCAACTATTAAACCAGGATATTATATATTTGACTCCTATTTATTTCAAGTTAGTTGCCTGTTTCCTTGCTAATAAACTTGCCTCCCATCCCCATAGTTGCTTTGCCAAATTGCCTTTAAATTCCCCAACATTAAAGCACCCATAAACAAACAGCCATAATAGTCTGGCACTCCCCTAAGGACATGTCAACACCAATGGAAATCAATATCCTCCCTCCACTATGCGTATAGCATATTCCTTTGCGACACAACACAATTGACAACAAGAATAATTAATTGATTTCGCTTGCCAGTAACATAAAATTAATGTCAGTTTCGTTAACATTTACAAGAAGAGCTATTCCATTTTTTCTTGGAGCGAGGGCTGGCATTCTCTGATTTCCAGCCATTTGTCAAATTTCGCATTCAGCATTTTACTCTCATTCTTACCCCTAAGAAAGGCCCATAAATTATAAGGCCAAACCACAGATCAATTTATTTTGTTGCCCGAGACAGGTCGCCATGCCTTAACATCCTGTGAAAATGTCGGCGAAAAAGGAAAAACAATTAAAACCCACTCGCAGACACTTTTTATGAGCACCGGCGACGTCTGGCCTCCAAACATATATATGTATATATATACGGGTATATAGAATTTTTGTGACTTTATCCACCTTTTGCCGGGTGCTGATTTCGGTGTTGTTTCTGATTTGGCTGTGCGAAATTTCAGTCTGTCTGCATAATTTCTCTGCGGTTTGATAAATGTCTCGCAAATCGCCGGCGACACTTGGCGTCCTTCCAGCATTTATCCCTAAAAAATAGGCAGCAACAATTCCGCGACAGTTTTTTGCATATATATTAATAACTGTCATTTGGGTGGGGCACTGTCATTTTCCCATCCTCCACAAACACACAATTTCTTTTGATATTTTGTCCTTGAGTAAAGCAATTCATATGTCTCTTAAGGTTTTCCCTTCTTGGTTCTATATCCCCCAGCACTTTTTTTCTTTGCCTAGGTTTAGGTGTGGTTGCAACTTTTGGCGCGTGTATATGAAAATTATGTTAATTTATACTCCGCTTGGCTGCGGATCCTGCTGTTTCCCTCGTTCTCTGGACGGTTTGATGGCTGCCTCCCCTTGGGGCGTCTGTTTGGGCTAACATAACGTTTTAGAGGGTGTCTGCGGGGTGTGCCCGACTTCTGGTTCGGTTACGATTGCTATTTGAAGAAATAGCAGCTTAATTTAATTTTATAATATACTAATATTATATTTGCTTAAATCAGTTATTACAAGCTTCAGCTTTTGAAGAGCAGAGACGAATCAACAACTTTGAAAATGTGTGCTGAAGTTTTCAGTGCAGGGTAATACAATATTTCCACTCCTTCCTAAGCTTTTCCAGCCACGTCCGTTGCTTGCGTGTGCGTTTTTCTGCATTAAATTAGGCAGTCTTCGTCTGGTCTGGAATATGTTATTTCAGTCTTCTCCAGTTTGGCAGACGCTGTCATCGTCACAATTTGTATAAGCTTCTTAAAGGGTTAAGGCCAGAAAGCGAGTTGCACAAGCAGCCGGCCGCATATTAATTTGGCCAGTAACATGTTGCACAACCATGGCGAATTATATAAATTGCTGGCTGCAGTTTTGAAGTCGTATTGTTGAATTCATGAGCATTATTGACCGCAATATTTATCACATGTCTAGTGCCAAGTTTAACACTCCTTTCTCTTTGTCGGCTTAATCGTACGTGTAGAATATATGGCACAATAAGCCAGGACTTAGCATAAATTTCCAGCTAGAGAACTGGACAAACTTCTGCGGTCCGTACTGCACTTCTGTTCGGGGCATTAATTATGATAATATTTCTTTGACTTTAATAAGCATTTGGCATTCAGGGGAAGCTCCAATATGCTAGCAGTACTCCCTGTCTTGCCAACGCCACTTGACTTCATTGTCCCATAATTACAATTAGACGCTCACAAGCTCATCGAAAAGTGGAGTGCCAAACGCAAGATGCAAATGGTAGAGGACCACAGACCTCATTGTCTCCTCCTCATTAATTAACTGACAGATGTGGATGTCTGCTGGGGCAATTGTCTTACTTTGTTGTCTCTGTGGCACGGCTCAGATAAATCTGTAGCGCTTAAATGGCCGAACGTCTATAATTGCGAAAACAAATGTGGAATGTTTGCATTGTAAGGGGTTACTTAAGCTGGAGAATGAATAATGCAATTGGTGTTGATGACTTGAGAGTTAAATAAAATATAGCAGCTCATACTCCGTCTATGCAACAAGTTCGGTGATTGAAAGGCAAAGCGATTTGAAAGCCAAATATATTATGGATATTATTTGTGATGCAATTTCCCAAGCAATTCCACACTATTAATACTGCATACGTGAATAAATTTATAATAATACAGCTTATAATGTTTTAGGAGCACTGATTGCATTTTACAGCAATATTTTACCAGTAAGTAGGGTAGGGTAAAAGGGTATACCAGATTCGTTGAAAAGTATGTAACAGATATTTATTTTTATTTCTTTCCAATTCCTTCGATAAACACACAAGCCGCCAAAAACTGCCACGCCCACCCTTATGAAACTAATCAAAAATGTTGGTATTATGCCAAAAAGAATGTGGAATTTTCTAGCTCGCACTCCCACTAACGGGTATCCGATAGTTGGGAAACTCGACTACAGCGTTCGCTCTTGTTATTAGGTAGTATTAATATTTAGGACGAAATTGTTGACCTGATTAGCGTCCTAACTTTGAAGCCCTGACATGTCTGTCACTTTTAAATCTAAATATGCTGCTCGCATACTTGTTGCTGCTGAAAATTCCTTTGGTTTTGCCTAACAATATTACCACGAGTAATATCAACCATTATCACGAGCCAACCTACAGCCATCTGAGTTCGTATCTGGTATCGTTGCGGACTCGTAAATATATTCACTCTCCTGGAGATAATCACTTCTGCACCGGAGTTATCCTAACCAATCGCCATGTGCTTACCTCAGCACACTGCATTACGGAGTGGGTATAATACATATCTAATACATTATTTCATTGTTCACTATCCTCGAATGTATAATTAGCAAAAACGGTGTAATGATGAGCCCTAAACGGATTGTGGTGGCACTTTGCGCGGCTCTTTTTAAGACTCCGGAGTCGGAGGAATTTGTTGTAGATATTCATAATATGCTTATCCACCCGTACTACCAACGGAACCAGCACAATGATATAGCTATAATAAAACTGAAGAGGTATGTGAGGTTGGACGGCCATCACCTGGCCCCAGTTTTGCTTGGCAACTCCTCGCTGGAAGTGGGAAATGATTGCAAGACCATTGGTGGAAACTTCGGCGTACGAGTGGGTACTATTCAAAACTACTACTACTCAAAAGTTAATGCCACAGAAATCCTACTCCTTAGAGGCAAAGATTTGGATCATTCCATAGCATGTTGCTTGTGAATGTCGAACTGCGGCCATTCGACGATTGTCTGAAGGTGAAGAAGAGTCTAATGGATGCTAGGCCGGAAAACGAGGACCTCATATGTGTAAAGTCCATGGAGCATCAGATGTGCACCTCGGATTTCGGTGGTCCACTATTTTGCGATGGTCAGCTGTATGGGATAGCTCTGGGCTCCATCAATTGCTCCAGTTCAGAGCCAGTTTTCTTCAGTGACGTATCGTTCTACAACAGCTGGGTGACCAAAATGATATCGGGGGGCTTTATCGCAGCGAGATTTTCCATTTATTCCTACATCATTTTATTGCTCAACCTTATATGGAAACAGGACAGGGAAATATAACTCTCTCTAGAGAAAGGAAAAATTGACCGGCCCCTGCGAGCCATGGAAAATTGGGGAAAGCCCTAGGAAACTTTCGCCTGTATTGCACCTGTGCCACGTGTGGCACGTTCACTTTCCCCCGCCCAGAAAAACCGCACTGACTTTCCTTTCAACTCCAACAACCATATTTTCGGTTGTTCAACGCTTTTACACTTTTGCATTAATCAAGAAGAAAAGAAAACTGCCGAAAAAACTTAATAAATTTGTACATAAAACATGATTGATAAAGGCCATAAATAATCCCAATAATAAATAGAAAATTGGTCAAGAAAAAAGTAAAAGGCCGCGACACGGCAATTTGATGTAACAACCAATCATTATTAATAGCCACCAAACGCCGGAAAAAACCGACCCGTTAAGGTAACAAGAAATTGCACACACACGCGATAATATTGGCCGAAAAAGAAAAGCCAAAAGTTAACAATAACATGTCTGCGCTGAACTCTTGTTGCTTAACTCCCATTGACTTTGGGTTCAAGACTCGCTGTCAGTCGTCGAATGGAAAGCCAGCCATAAATCGCTAGTAATTATATTTTTTGTTGCTCTGCAATTGCCCGAATGCAGGTAGCTGGGTATCACAAAAGCTGATAAATCGATGCTGATAAATTGAAAATTACCAGCCAAGCGATATATAATGGTCTGGTTGATAAGCCCACAGATTGCACAAATATATACGTACTCGTGCATACAGCATTTGATTTTCCTTTTATAGTGCTGAAATTGCATACCAATTTGTGGTAGACAGCAGCCCGACTTGTGTGCCCAATTTGCTTTCTTCATTCTCTTTGAAAGCCAGCTAGATGTTGAACTTAGCAGTGGGATAAAAGAAAGTCGAAGGTGTCGTCATTAAGAAGAAAGCATTTATTAGGGATATAAATAGTTGAACCACCAAATGAAATACATCCTAATACCTAAAATTCGAATATTTTGCTTTATTGATATGTATAGTGCTTCAGTATAAAATATAAATGAAAAGGCATTTCACATGGGATAGGTAAAGTAAGTCGATTAAAACTAAGTGAATAATTTCATATAATTATAAAATGGTATACTTCATTCCACTGTACTCAAGGAAACGTAAAAAAAAACCAAATAAAACTGTAGTTGAAAAATCAAAGTACCCGAACACAAAATTCAAGTAAAAATCACGTTCCAAGCAAAAGACGCTAACGTGGCCGAAAAATAGGAAACAATAGCCACAACAGGGAGACGATGCATCGATATGGACTCACAGACCGAACTTGATTTTTATTGGGAAGAGTGAGGGCATTAAATTAAATCTATTTGTACAATTTACAGAGGGGAATAGCGAAGTGAAGTAAAGTGAAGTGATTTCTATGGCCACACACATGTGTGTGGCAAAAGCATACAAAAAAATCACTTAAAGTTGGGCCAACGTTTCCGCTGAGGCCACACCACTGAACTGGACAAACGTTGCTGCGAAAACTGCAGACATGGCATCAAATAAAACATGGGCACTGACGGAGGAGGAGAATCCAGTCGGGATCTGTAAATCCAACCCAGAGGACGACGATGGTCGTCCGAAATTTTCGCCGGCGAAAAAAGCTAAATAAATAAATATCACCAGCAGGGGGAATGGATAAAAAATAGATTTGTGCTGTGAATAAACCCATGGATACGTAGCATATGTCGATGACAGAGGGGAAATCGTGAAAAGTGTACTCAATAAAAATTGCCATGAGTAAGTTTGTAAATATACCTTCTTAACAAAGGTACAATTTATGCAACTTTTGATGAATTGAAAAGGGATAGGAACAGAATGTTTCGGTCTCGCAATATTGAGAAGAAAAAGAGCAAGCGATTAAGTGTATTTTTCAAAATAAAATTTGCAATTTGTATACAATTGACGTTTTATCACGCGCTCATCTCTATTCAATGCAACGTCTCGAGTTCGGGCGTTTGTTTTCATAGCTGTGAATGTGACATTGTCCAACTTCAACTTGCACGTTTTCCCCACATTTTGCAGCTTTTTTTTGAAACTCGAGCCACAGTTTGTTGCAATCCCCGTTTTTATTTGTGGGAGAAAGTGTGAAACCGATTTTGCTGACTCTGGACTCTGGAAATTCAAGCTGCAGCAAAACTTCTCGGCGGCATTTCATGCAGCCCTTTTGAGAACCCTAAGTGGTTTTATAGGGTCTACAAATTCCAGTGTGAAAAAACTGAAACAAAAAAAGCGCGGGAGTCTCATAAAAATATCACAAGCAGCAAAAAGGAGTCTGCCAGCGAAGCAGACAAAAAATGCACTCACAACTCAATTGTCAAAAGTTAAACGGCATCTCATGGGGCGGTCGAAAAGTTTCGAATTACATGGCCAGCTGGCTGACCCGCTTTTTAAAGTCGAATGCAAATGCTGTTGATTTTCCGCACGTTTCCGGCTGACCAAACAAAACTTCACTCACCCAGTCAGTCAATCCGTCATCCAAAAGCCAAAATGGGCAACGGGATCGAGCGGAGAAATCAATTCATTTTTGGCCAGCTGCAGCATTGGCTGCCCCTCTTAGCTGCCCCTTCTTTCACCTCATGTTCCCATCACTTTTAAGTTTGCAGCTGTTTTCGATGCCCCACCTCTCATATTTCTGCCACAATTTGCAGTTTGCGGCTTTCATTTACAGAAATTAGCCTGGCGATACACGAAGTGATTTATACCACGAACTCTAAACATTTTGTAAATGTTTTGTTAAATTTTGCGATTAATTATGCCTAATAAATCTTTTTGAACACATTTTGATACGTAGCTAAATTTCATTTAGACATTAAAGACCTTTGTTTAAACTTCGTCGTTGAAGGCATAACTCAACATAGATACATATGGATTTAAATAATATTTTTGGGCTTTTATAGTATTTCCTTGACATCCTAACTAAAGAGTTAGTCTTAACCAGCTTATATGCCTTCCTGAAACACAAAACCCAAGCAGACAATCTAGCTAAAATTAAAACCAAATCATTTAGTAGAATCTGGATAATCCTGAGTCGAAATTGCATTAGAAATTAGCCTCCACTGACAAACTTGCCCCGCCTTACCTAAAAGGCCAAAGTCGAGCAAACATACAACCAAGCAAACAAACAAACTCACTTTTGCTCGAACGTTTAATGCTCGACTTAGAAAATTACTCAAATGTCTTAATTGGCAAATGGAAAATGCTTAAAAAGAGTGGCAAGAAGCTGCAGTTGGGAGAACTTTGCGCAAACTTTTTCAACTGCAGCTATGGGAGTGGGAAAACATTTCCAAACAAAACCGACAAAAAAGAAAAAGAACGAACGAATAACTTAATTGAAACTTAATGAGAAAATGCAGCCGCATTGTTCGCAATGGCAAATGAAAAAACAAACTGAGATCTCTGGTTATGTGATGCGTATCTTAAAGATGCAAACGTGCAGGTGTCTCCCGCTAAATGCTACAGTCATTTGCCTGATTGCCGAGACATTAGGACAGCGTGTCGAGTGTTGCTTGGAACGTGCCGTTTTTTGTTGCCCCTCTGGCGAAAGACAATGCCTCGGATTATGCGATACCGAATACCCTGATACGAGATACCAGATACTTAAGTGAATTGCACAACAGCCACAACATAATCGCCCTTTTGTTTGCTTTTATCTTTCAGATGCACTCACCTGGGCCCAGGTGAACGTGGAACCCAACACAGCGCTCCTCAACGAAGGCGATCGCACTGAGCTGCTCTGCCGCTACGGCAGATCCATCAACTACTGCCGCATCGAGATTCCCGGCGAGCAGAAGGTCCTCAACCTGTCGCCGGAGTGGAGCAAGACCCCCGGATTCACGTACTTCGGAGCGGGTCTCACGGCCGGACAGTGCGGCGTCAGCATCGAGAGGGTCAAGGCCAGCAACAATGGCCAGGTCAAGTGCAGTCTGGGCGTCGAGGGAGAGGAGCTGTCGGGCACCATCGACCTGGTCGTGGCATGTAAGTACTCAGAAACCAAAGCGCTCTTATATACATTTTCGTAAGCTAGGTTCCCATTAAAAAGTGCTTTTTAAACATTATTTTCTCTATTTGCTCTCACCTTTCAGTGCGTCCGCAGCAGCCCATCATCGAGCTGCTGTCGCGGCCAAATCGCGAGGGCTACTTCAACGAGGGAACTGAATTCAGGGCCCGCTGCAGCGTTCGCGATGGTCGTCCGCCGGCGAACATCTCGTGGTACATCGACAACATGCCGGCCAACAAGCGGACCACTCCCCTGGAGGTCATGTCCTCGACCAACGACAACGTGGAGCTATCGACCTCCGTGCAGGAAATCCAGTGGCACCTGTCGCCCGAGGACAGCAACCGGAAACTGGTCTGCCGCTCCCACCACCAAACCGATCGCGAGAGTGTGCCGCCCCAGGAAGCTGCCTACATCATCAACGTGCGCTGTGAGTGTGCCAGCATACCTAACCGCTAATTAAGCCTGGGATAAACCAAAAGGCACTCATTAAGTCACTTCAGGCCAAACGCGCCAAATATTCCGCTTGGCTATCAAGCAGATGCATATATATCCCTTCTTCAAGGGAAATCTAAAATTGTTGTTGTCCAATAATATCACATTGCCTATATTCCAAGCTAGAAACCTTACTTATGCTTTTTGTTTATTTTGTATGAGTGCCTTTATAGTTTTGAGTAAATGAACTGGTGGATTTTAATCTTACAATCTAACACCTTCCCCAGACGCTCCCGTCCACCAGCCAGATGCCGCCGTGTATGGACTCTATCTCGAGCACACTGCCATTGTGAACATAACCATCCGCGCCAGTCCGCAGCCCAAGATCGAGTGGACCATCGATGGAGCAATCGTGGGGCAGGGACGCACCGACGGACGCTACTCGGCATACGAGCCGCAGTATCTGGGCAACGATGAGTACAACGTGACACTGGCCATTGCCGGCCTGACCCTGGAAGATACCACCAAAATCTACAATCTGCGGGCCAGCAATGAACTGGGACTGACGGACTACCAGGTGCGCATCAGTTCGTCAAGCAAACCGCCCAGCAGCAGCCTCGATGTGGCCGCAATCGTTGGCATTGTGGTCGCCGTTGCCGTTTTGGTCCTGGTCGTTTTACTGATTGTTTTTGCACGGGCTACTGGCCGATGGTGTTTTGGCGGTAAGTCGAACATGTTTTCGCGTTTCTTTATTTTTGGTTTTCCATACACACAATTTTGCTTATTTCGTGGGTGAAACATCGTCATTAGCCTCTCAGCCACATCAACAAAAACAACAGCAACACCATCATCATCATTATTACGACCATCCACCGCCACTATTGTCTCATCATCAGCTATGCTAACAATAAATTCTGGCTTTAGGTTCCCCCACCCAAACCGCTCCACTCCAGCACCCATTTCCCCCCGAAACTCCGCCACTCATCCTGCAACTCATATACGTACTCTTTGGTTTTTTGGGTGGGCCTTTGGCCCGGCGCTTCTGCCACAAACCGTTGTTAACTTTCGACACATTGTGCGGCTTTTAAATTTTAATTAGCGTTAACATAGCAGAAGGAGCAGCTGAGCGGGCGGATGAACGCAGCAGCCCTAAAAATTCATCTAATTAAAAAAATTGCACTTGACTTTTCCGGTGAAGTTTTTGTGGAAAATTATCTTTGGAAAGTATGTGGCTCGGGCAACAAAACCCAATGTGGAGCACATGATTTAGAAAAACGCAGAAGACCTGGGGCTTAAAAAAATTCAAAAGGAATTGGTTTAATTTGAAAAGGTAGTTGAAAAGTTGATAAAAGTGGACACGAGTCAGGAGACAAGGTTAAGGTGAAAATTAAAACAAATTGATTAATTCAGTAACCATGCTATCTAAAGTGATATTCTCAATACTTAAATATAAGTGTAGCTCACTTTATTTTTATAAAAATCTAGTCGCCTATAAACGTGTTATAATAAAATGTGAAACACAATTCGAAATATGTAACCAGCTGAAGCAAAATAATGTACTTGGCGCCCAACCAAAATAAACTGCCTAATCATATACCTAAGTTTAACAAAACAATTGTACAACTCTCCGAGAAAAAGTGTCTACAAATGACAACAACAAGAAGAGCTAACATTGAAAACAAAAATTGGTCACTAAACTTGCCGAGAAAAATTCCAAATTATGTGTAAAAACGTGTTTTTGGCTATGTAAAAAAATATGTAAAGATAAATTGTATTTCTCTGTTTCTTAATGCTTTCCGAACTTCTTGCCTGATAAGCTTTTTGGTAAATGGACTAACCTCGACTTTAATATGGAATTTTGGTATCTTCGAGATCGAAATCTTCTCGCTCTGTCTCTCCTTCCTCCGCCCTTCCCTTTCTCTCTCTTTCTCTCTGCACACAAAGCTAAATGTTAGTTCTTGTTGTTGTCGTTTTTACAGGCGCCACTCTAAACACGGACATCGGCCCCGATTCCGAGGCCCAAATCCATCCGGAGTTCAATGACGACGAGGAGCTGGATGGTCGCGATAATGGCGATGAGCATATCGACACCACCCAGCAGTCGGAGGAGGCCACGCCCCCCGTAACAGATAAATTGGAGGCGCAAAAGAAGGCGGATCTGAAGAAGAGTGCGGCAGCCACAGCGGCAGCGGTTATTGCCGCTGGAAATGGCAGCCAGCACAACTTAAATGGGATCGAGGCTCCCAAGCCGCCAAATACTTCCGTTTGAGCCGTTTAGGCCGCCTTCGCCTGCGCCCCAACAAAGGGGCGTGGCTCTTGGCCAGTTAGCTGTGTGCCCCATTTGCTGAAAGCAGAAGGGAAAAGAAACAAAATCGAATAATATATATCCTTACCACTCTTGCTCTCAAATAGTTGCTCTCTCATACAAGTTACAGAAATCTCGAAAGGCGCACAACAAAAACGTATATTTAATTTTACTATAAACAAAACAAAAGCAACAATTTACCTTAGGCCAAGTAATTTTAAGTGACCAATTTTCGTGAAACCGCGAGTCTCGCAAAGCCTTGAATGTCCCTTGTCCACTCGAAAACAACTAAAACAAAACTTAAATAATATAAATTACGAATAATAAATCAACAATGTCCCATTTATTGTATTATATTTTGTCCAGCAATATTGATGTTCATCCATGTATTTATTTAAGCTATAAGAGCTGCCAGCATTTTGCATTTTGCGTATTCTAATTTTTATTTTTTGTCGATTGGCAATTTCAATCAATTTGAACGTGGCAAGCAACGCAAATTAGAAAATTAAACATGCCTATGATTTATTTTAATTAGTTATCTGCTTCACACTTGTGTTTTTTTATGTTCTTTGGTAATTTTAGCAAGACGAAACAAATAAACAAAAACATGAAAAATACAAATTTGGTTCAAGTTAAAGTTTGGTGTGGCATAATGTGCGCTGATGATGGTGTTGTCAGGTGGGGTACCCATTCCCTGATCATTAATCATGAAAATCATTTTTACCTAGTATGCATATGACTCTGCAAGTATTTTACATATACCTAAAAGATTTTCGAAATTTCTCTTCACAGGCAAATCAATCAAGACGCCCACAAACGAAACGTAAGTACAGTGAACTCTCCACCAGTCTATCAAATGTCAAAATAAGTTCAGTAGAGTGCTATAAAACAGACGGGGCAGGCCATACAATCGTAAACTGTTTTCACGGATCCACAACTAACCCGTCGACGGTATCTGGTTTGCTTGAACTCGCTTAATTTTCAAAGCCATTAATCTGCATCCATTAGTTTGATGTTGCGTAGCTCGGATGTGTGTTTGTTTGTCTACTTGCATGTGTCTCTTGAGTCGCTTTAATTTTCGATCTTACATTAACCGTATGCCGAATAAGCAATCATCCATAGATATACATATGTAGCGCAGCTCATTGCCAATCTAGGTTAGTTCATAGTTCATTTATAGTCGAAATTCAACTTAAACTTAAGCACACGCATACCCATAAGCACACTACACACTACACACCACATTTGATAAGTCAAAAAAACGAAATCCAAATTCTAATTTCGTAAAAGCAAATCAGTTTAAAATGTCTCACGCTGTCTCACACACACCATACACACATACATGAGATACACTTGTGAACTTTCACTATAAAACGCTCGCTAGTCGCTCTGCCACGCCCACTGTGCTCGCCCGCCCACCAGAAAAAATAAACAAGAAGTGTCGGTCTCGCTCTGTCTCTGTCTCTCTCTCTTACCCTCTGAACATCATGAAGCTCTCTTGCTCTGTCTCACGCATTTACTAAAATGTCAAAAATGTCGCTGTCCCAGTCATTCAACAAAAACAAAAGGCAAAAAAAAGAAGCCACCACAAAATATGCATTGAATAAAAAACAACTCTATAGTGTTAGAGCCACTTTGCTAATGCATCACAACAATAATAAATAACAACAAAATGCTGAACCACAGAAAGAAACGAAAACAAACTTCTTGCTATGTTTTGTCTTCTTTTTCTACTACTTTCATATGGACAACGACCCACCGAAAACCCCTCAAAAATGTGTGATGGATCCCTAAATTGATTTTTTCCTTAAACATTTAAAAAACATATCGATGATTCACAATCAATCAACCAATCCTGCGTAAATAGTGAGATCGATAGGCAACTGGAGTTGGGCGCCCAGCAGAATCAAGGGCAAAACGTAGCCCTCTTGGAAACCCCCAATGGCATAACCTTGTTGGGAGCCAGTAAACTGCGCGAGGTCAACGGAAATGGCCAGCAGGATCGGTTGTCGGTTGTGGAAAGACGCCACCACGATGAAGATGACAGCTTTGAGTACGGAACGGATCGGGAGAGCAGTGTCTATAACCCCACCACGCGACCTCTGAAGAGCATTCTGATGAGCCAGGCGGCCGGACGCAACTCCCGGAGCTATGGCAGCGATAAGGAGGATGGCAACGAGAATGCCGATCTGCTGCAGAAGGGAAACCAGCTGGGGATTCCCGAATCGCGCTTCTCCCGCTGGCTGCCCAAGGATCAACGTGAGCTGATCGAGAAGCAGGCGATGTTGCTTTCGGGAAGGGGCAAGTCCCCGGCGCCGGCCACTCCCCCCAAGCCACAGAGACCGCAAGTCGGAGGCGTAAATGGCACACATACCACTAGCACTAACACTGCCACAACGACGACGACACCGACGACGCCGACGACGCCAAAGTTGCCACAGGAAACGGAAATCTGAGCGTGCGCGCGTGTGTGTGTGTGCGCACATGGCGCTCGTATTTATTTATTTCTTTTTCGGTACAGGAAACGCCCAGCAGGATTAACAATGGAGCAGTTTTGTGACCATCGGGAACTTTTAGGGGGGCAGCCAAAAGTGTCAGGAGTTACAGCTGATGTCTCAGAGCCAACTCAACCTATAAAAATTAAGCTTAGCAGGCATAGGCAAACCATTTCACAACCCCATTTATCAAATGAGAGCACCATGATGTGAAAGGATTCCTATTTTACGAGTGGTTACTGTTTGCTAAGTAATTTTAGCAAAGTATTTCCATTATTTCCAACCGGAATATGAATATGAAAACCTCTTCCTATAATAACTGGGCTTAATAATTAATAAGTAAGGTGGAAAAAGTTGTATATAGTGATGGTTTAAAAAGACTAGGCTGATATATTTCCTATTTGCTGATATTTGGATGATTCCCAGTAAATTCCCAGATGAAAACCTAAAGAAAGATTAGAAAAGTTCCATCGCAAAACTGACCCCATATTAGATTCTAAGCTTGGTAATAACTCACGAAAGTCTATTTTCCTGAACAACAAAACACAAACGAAACATTAAGCCTTTAATAAATTAACGAAACTGATTTATTTCATAGAGATTAAGCCGGCATGAAATTAAGTTTTTATCGAATACTATTAAACGAAAGAGTTTGCATGGCAAGCATGAAGCAACAAATAATTGTTTTGCGCATATATAATATTTTTAGTAGTCACTGTAGAACAAAGTCGTCAAATGAGATATCTATCGATCATATATAGAATGTGAAACAGTGTTCAGTCTAGACTCGCACAATGTACTGTAAGAACGAAAAAACAGCTTCCACTAAATTTCGATCGTTTTAGTTGGTTTAAGTTCGAGTGCCTAAAACTAAAAATAATGTTAGTAATTAAACACACGAACGATATAAAATAGTTAGACTTTTGTACGTGTTCTTTTCTTATTATTTTTTACAAAACGTATGTTTAATATTTAACAACAATAAATATTGTTAAAAGTGCGATAGCTTCCTGTTTTGGATTTATTTATTTTGCGAATGTCTGAATAAGTATGCGTGTGTGAAAGGCAAGCCTTGAATACAAGGAAATTATGTAAAGTTCACCGGACCCCTGAAAGGAAATTGCTAACAATGCAGCATATCAAAGAGGATATCCCCGTACAATATTCCATTTTCCATAACAAAAGCAAAATCATTAAAATACGACAGAAGCGTTTCACGCAATAAACATTTCACATATGAGAGACAAACTTGCCACGCCTGAAAACAACACAAACTCAAGCACGAACACAGCACAGACACGGCACACACTGCTAGCAAAATGTATCCATCAGATACTTGTTGAGCTGGCCCAGACAGCAGGCAGACATTCAAATGAGCCAAAAATATTTATAGAATATAGATGAAACTCATTTTGGCCAAGCGAAAGCAATTTACTTGGCCAGCCCACGCCGAACGGAGGCCAAAATGGGGGATGGAACTGGTTAAAGGGTCCAAAAAAGGTCAAATGCGGATTAAATTTTCCATATGCCATTTCGTACGGGTATTAGGTGTGGCACAGAGCAGAGTAATTTGTAGCCTTCTATCATAAATTCGAGGTTGCTTAAGCATTGGACATTAAAGAATTAGTAGTCTTAGGGCTTGACTTTGGATATCGTTTAATCAGAAATATATATTATGAGCCACAAAACGACAGTGATAAAACATATTATTTTAGAAAACATATGCATTTTAAGTAACATTTTGTTATCTCTGTGTTAGAGAGGGTTACAATTATTTAAAAGCCGGTTCGACTTAATTGAGTTATATGGGCTATATGGCAAATGTGTGCTTTTCCGAGTACTTTTCAAATAAAATGAGATTTTAACCTTTTTACTCGAATACTTGCTTTCCCTAACACAATTTGGGTTTTAATGGTCCACACACGAACAACAATAACAATTACGACATAACCAAAACACAAGTTCTTAAACCCACTAACAACCACCAGATAAGGTTAGATCCAAAAAGACAGAAAGCTGCAGAGAAAGGAGTTTTAACCACACGACTAACACCGAACACTACAATGGCTATCTTTTGTTAACTTATATTTTACGGGAAGAAATTCGCACAGCAGCGCACAGTAATAAGTATAATAAAAATAAACAGAAACATAAACATAAACTTTCATACCAAAACAAAATCATGAACCCATCCAAAACCTCCTCACAATTTCACAACCGACAAGCAGCAGCGACACCGAGAGCGCCGATATAAAAGCCACGTCAACAGCCACGGCCACAACCACCATGGGCGGAGTGGGCGTGTCGGCCGAGGATGAGGAAACCGTTAACGAACAGGAGAGCCCGCAGGAACAGCAACAGCAGCAGCAGCAGAAGAAGGCCAAGAGATTGCCCGCTTTTGCCGCGGCAATTTTGAGGCGTTTCAATGAAAAGGACTCGCGGAAGTTCAAGGACAATCAGGAGTCGTTGAATATTGTAGAGGGAAGCGTTCAGGAGATTCCAGCGACCAATAATGCCATCGATGGCAATGACAATGAACCAAAGGTATTGAAAAATGTTCCCGATTCCGTCCTTTCCATCTTCTCTTTCCAACTTCTCTGTTTTTAGCTGGGCACACAGAAAATAATATCTTTAAAAACCAACAGACAATCGATATTTTTTCCTGTTGATATCCATAAAATAAAAAATTAAATTATTTGATTTATGATAAAGCCTTTTAAATGTTTAAGACTGTTCTGATGGAAGAACCATCTCAATGCACAATTCCGTGCACTTTTTAGATATCGTCAATATTTAAATATTTTTATCAAACATCTTTCTATTTAGAAATTAAAAAGCTTAGAAAATACATTAAAAAATTACCTATGCAGTAAATTCTTATAGTCACAATGGTAGAATAAATATAATGTCTGAATTTCCTTCCAAGTTGATTTAATATAGAATTAATCTAGATTATACATCTTTTCTCGTATATGTATTAAATGTGTGCGTGTGTTTGAGTGCGAGCTATATTCACCTTAAGCTTAGCATAATACTTTTATCTTAGACACAAGCTTTAAGCAAACTTTAAATTCGTTATTTTACAATTTTCCTTTTGCTATCATCACAAATTTTTCTACATAATTTTCTTTGCCATTTTCTGCTCTTTCCGTTGAAAAACAAAAAAAAACCAACCGCATGCCAAATAAAATCCGTTGTTGTATAACTTTGTATATAAACGCAAATAAAGGCTATAGTTTGGCAGAGCACCTCTCCAGTGTGGACATTTAAGTAAAGAAAAGCAATAAGCAGTTGAAAAAGGTATAACAAATTCCCCTATATAGAACCTACAATTCTTACGTTCTTCTGTGAATATGCTCCCATATTAGAGAAGTACTAAAAGAATCTTTCATTTATTTCCAAAATACAGCAAGACAAACAACTCGTCTATGCTGAACTTGTACTAAAGCCAGCCAATGAGGCGACAACAGCAACAGCAACAGCAACAACAACACCAGCAACAGCAGCAGGAGCAGCAGCAACAACAACACCAGAGGGCTCCGGAGTCGGGGTCAAAAGTTCAACGGAATACGCCGAAATAGTCTATGTGCAGAAGGGAGGCGAAGGAAAAAAGTAATCTACCCCATCAATATAAATCCCTGGGAGGCTGACACAAGTAACAAATAACAGATGAATGCACAAATTAAAGAGCAGAAACGTAAACGGAAACCCAGTGCAGCATAAAAATAAACTCTACATTGATATTAAGAATGCAAAACAAAAAGTGAACAAAATGTCAAAAGTGGTTTTTCAAAAACTTCTTGAATGTGTGTACTAAAATCTAAAGAAATGTGAAACTAAGAACATAAAAGCGTAAACATAAACTTATACAGAATAAACTTACTTCTCCGCACAGAAATCTCGACACAAGATACACCCTCGCAATCAGAACCCCTCCTCCTCCCTCAGCCCACACATTAAATCAAATTTACAACAAGATAAAAATAACGAGAACCTTAAAAAAGCTAAAAGAATATTTGCAACAAAAAAACTAAATATATATAAATAAAATTTACATAAACATAGGCAAGAAAAAGAAACCATTTGAAAATCTCAATTATTTACATAAATGTCTCGCATTTAAGCTAAATGTAAAGTTAAGACAAGCAAGAAGCAAGAAAAATATGAAAATATGCGAAATTTAAGAAAACCTATTTCAACCGTCTTTAAATTATTTTTACGCAAACATTTTTTACACATCGCCGTTTCGAATATGCAAAATTAGGAACAGTAACTATTTAGGCAGCCAGAAAAAGCATTTAAACAAATTAAGGAATAAATTAAAAAGGGAAAGTATTCACCGAAATCTCTAACAACTGAAAGTATTCTATCATAAATAATTTTGTTCTTATCTCTTATCTCTTGACGACGTCCATCCAATTTCCTTACAACTGGCAATTAATGTTATTATTTAACACTTTTTACACAATTACGTATTAATTAATTATTGAATAAGTTAAGTGCATAAATAAATTACAATGTACTCTCATGATGACGATTGATTTTTGTAAGTTATGATTTGTATAAAGTTAAGCTGAACAAGAAACTTTTTGAATAAAATTCTTTACCGTATGAGCTCCGTGTGTATTTTATTCGAGTCCCAGTAAAATGTTCCATTGCTGCATACAATATGTAAGTATTTATTTAACCATAAGTCTCAGCATAAAATTCTGGGCAATCCATTATCAAAGGCTGACTTATCAATAACAGAATTTCTTGTCCAATGCCAAAGTTAAAGGTAAAAGAAAGCTAGTTAAATGGAATGTCAAGTTTGGAAGTAAATTAAAATTGCAGTTCAAGCTGCCGGCAAAAGTTCTCTGTGGCATTTCAAGCACCGGAAGGCTCACAACAGATAGTCAATTACACTAAGTAAAAACACACTTCTGATCGGATCTGCAACGGAAAGAACGATAATCATATCGCATTATTCATAGTCGCATGACCCCGAATGTATTTTGGCTAATACCGAAAGAGAGAGGAAACAATAATAATAAAATATGGCAAAGTTTTGCAGTTGACTTGGCTTTCTCCACTGGCGGATTTTGGTATCTGGCTGTGGCTGCTTGTCAGTCAGTCAGTCAACTGCTCAGTACTGCGGCTCCCTCAACTTTTTCTGACATTTCAATTTATAAAGCTCAAAATCTGCACGCGTTACCCGAAGCGTCGCATTTTACATTAGACAAAAACTGAGCGAACCTCGTATATTTTATTTTCGCCAGTTCTAGGGGCTGCTTTACTTTTTCACTGAGTTTCACCGCGATGGCTCGAAAGTAAAATACAATTTTGCTGTTTTTCCTTTGTTTCATGCCAAATGCAGTACATTGAAATATACTTGAGGGCGAATGAAATGAAACTTTCAAGGCTTGTACAATGCACTCTCAGCGAAATGGGAAACGAGGTACTTTCATTTGCATTTGGATAGACCGCCAAAAAATTCACTAAAGCGTTTCCATCGTGAGTAGAACTATCAAAATATACTAAGTGTTCACCATTTGTTTTATCATTTTAATGATTGCATAACTTGAAATATGTATACCCTAATTTCAAAAGTATGTATCTAAATTCAATTTCTAAGCCCCCCGTCGGCTATCCGTCTACCTTTAATCCATATTCCTGCCACAAGGCATATTGTTAATTATGTAATCAGGCTTAGAATCCGCGACGCATTAATTTCGCTTAATTAGTTTGCCATTCGCAGTCAACTGACTAGAAACCAGGTTGGGTTGCACGTGCTGCTGCTCAAATTGCATATTAATAAACAATGTTTCGGGCATTGATTCAATTACCAGTTAACCTACAACCGCCCATAAATATGCATGCAACGTCAGTTTGTTGTCCACTAACTAACCAAATGCGAATTGCTCTTCAGCTCAGAACTGCAGGTTCCCGCAATCTGCATACCATTCGGCACAACAACTGCTCTAAAGTTTCTCCATTCTGAAACAATAATGACAACAACAACTG